CCTGAGCGGTCTCTCCCCGAGCCTCTGGATGCCACGGTCCGTGCGGGCAGCTCCGGACGTTCCTTGTATGCTGAGGTGGCAACGAATGCCATGTGTTCTTTCTTTTCCTCCTTTCCTTGCCAGCTCTATTTAACTCTCAGGACTGTGCTTTAGCACAGTTCAGGCTCAACCAAGTCGTTTCTCAGGCCATAACTGGCTTGATTAACCAGGAATAAATAAGTGAACACCCCTAACTGTTAGGTGACGGAGTACCTGACCAGCCAAAACACCCACTGCATTGAAGCGCCTTCAGCTTCCTGCCATTTCTGTGGTCTCAGGAGTTTGGGGGGACCCGGCTTTGCTCCCAGTGTAGATAACTAGTCAGAGAACCAACACTGAGCATTGTTACAAATCCTTGTTTCAGGTTACAATAATTTCTTTGCTTAGGAGCAGGAATTTATCTTGCTCTATATAGTCAGCTACTGCTAGGGATTTAACTCATTTTTCCTGTGAAAGCTAACAGTTTTAAGACGTTTTAAGCATCAAAAGTGCTATTAACAGAGTCCAGTTTAAAATACTGCCCTGCTCAGGTTTTACTTTGTATGACCAAGTGTGCACAGCTAAATCATGAAGTGGGAAGAGACGTATTTCTCATAAATAGGAACCATATTAGAAGTTATGGCTTGCTTTATAAATTACTGAGCCGTGGCTTCTTTGTTAATTCTCTGCTTTCTAGAACATGTACAGCAATCCATCCTTAAATGAAGGAATCCAGACTTTAAATCTTGCAGCTTTAAATCCTCCCCCCTCTTCCCTTTTTAATTCTGACATTGATTTGTTCATTTGGAGCTACTGTGAGTTCTACTGTGTCCCCCCTCTGCCATTTGGAACGTTTTTGTGCCATCATTTAGTACTGTGCTCGATATTTGTGCCCCAGTTTTTGCAGTGGGAATGTTCCCTGTTGGCTTAGTTGTGTGTTTTTTCTGGATGGGGTCCATACCCAGCCTATGAGAAAGCATCAATTTATTAGTTCCATTTTCCAAACTAAGTATGAAGCACTCTACAGACTTTTCGTTTTTTTAAAATGCATGTGTAAGCAACCTCTTTTTCCAATAAAAATGCTACTCATTTTGATAATGGGAGGACAGGTAAAGTTAGTAAATTGTGCAGGACTTTGCTCAAAGCCGTTGCTGTAACTGAACTGTTACAGGAGCCTTACTCCCTCTTGTTGCTCCCTTGTCCAAATTTTGAAAAAGTTTGCACAAATATCTATACTTTCATCCTTAAAAAAACCCCAAAACCAACCCAAACCAAATACCCTATTAGCTGTTATTTCTGATTAAAGAACAAAAAAAAATTCCTTCATGTTAAAGGAATTCCAGACAGAAAGTTCTATGACCAGTGATAATTTTGATTAATGCTCCAAGAACAAACTATGGAACTGATTAAGAACATTAGGTGTAGTTTCTTCCCCCAAAGCATGTGAAAGCTACAGCATAGACTCAACCACAGGTAGCATCCCAGGCAGAGACACTCCTCAAATAGGAATGAATTGTAAAGACAGGCTGATCCTGAGGCGTTGCCATTGACTGGGAAGAGTTAAGGGTGCGTTACTGGGACTAGCCAGCCCCTCAAAACTTCCAATCGGCTTCACTCAAACTTTTTTTCCCATTTAAAGTATCTTTTCATACTGTGTAAGAATATTCGCTCTAGGATCTTAGTAACTCATTTGCTATCTGACTTGAAAAGGACTACAGCATTAAGTCTTTCCTAATGGAAGATGACGTTAACTTGTCATGGTTACCCATTAAAATGAGGTGGTTATGGAGAATGAAACTTCTGCTCCTAATCCCTCCATTCACATTCTGTACCATCCCCAGAATGCCAAATTCCATTGGTCAGGTCTTGATTTTCAAAACTTAAATTTTAAGAAGCCTTTTCTGATACCTGGATGACAGGCATTATTACTATTTAAAGTTATCCTGCCCTACTTGGTATTTGTTTTTCAACATCTGTCTAGCAGTGCTACACTGAAATTAGAAAGGTTTCAAGTAAGCGTCTTCAACAATGTTAGTATTTTTCATTAGTCTTGAAATGTTATTTACGCTCATTATTCCCTAAAGGTGGAGTGATGGTAGTGCCATTGCATTTAAAATGCTGTAATTTAAAACACTGGCCTGCTAATCATCAATACAAGCCCATGCAAGCCCAAGCATGCAACATGCTACCCACCCACCCCCCAAAAAACCCCAAGAGTTGGGCATGCCAAATGAGCAAATACCTAATGCACTGAAAAGGATGAAGATGTTGCAGATTACTAGGCATAACAACTAACTTGCAGTAGTTCATTATAACTAAATTTAAGTTTGGGGGGTTAGTGAGAAGTAAGACCTAACACAGTGACTATTTAATCTCTGCTGGTTCATCACAGTCGCTTGCATCAGACAACAGCGTACAGGAGTTAGTTACCTGGTGTGGAAATGAAGCAACCTTGTTTTAAGATGTACCAACATGTACATTTTAATGCTTTTTATTACTAATTGACTATCTATCTAAAGAAAGAAGAAACATTTTTCAGCAGTTGATTTTACTCTGTTGCCAAATTTATACATTAAAGTCTAGTCTGCTTTTAGGTAGACTCACTTTCCAGTTTTCAGTTACTCCAGGAGAATGCTTACACAAAACCACCATTACTATTCATTAATGTATTTTTCTTGGAAAAGCACATTAGCCCCAAACTTAACCTAATCAACACTTCCTCCTTAGCCATTACAAATTTCACTGATCTTTGATAAAGCTGCACACAAATACCTGTTTATTACTATCGGCAGCACTTTATCTGACCCCAATGGCTAAACCAAGGGCAAAGGAAATTATTTTCTAGTGAAATGGAAAAAATTACCGCGAGGTCACTGGAGATAATTCTACCCGCCCCCCAAACCCACACAAACACCCTACCTACAGTACACCCACACCTTTCTACTGCCTGGGCTTATTCTAGCTTTGCGTCTTATCACAGGTGGACCATGTTTAGTTCTAATAGCTTGGTTCTAATTTATTTGCCAGTCCAGTAACTAAAAAGTATTTTGTGTCTTTTATAACCGCCATGCAAAGACTATCATAGTTGCTGTGCCTTTGTATTATAAAATGTAGAGATCAAAATAATTTAAACATACTGCTTCGTCTAAAAACTTTGAGAAGATATAGAACACATACAGAATACCTTGAAGTTTTGTAAAAGCTCATTTTAAATGTGCTGCTGTTTAAATCCACAAATATTTTCAGTACTTAAAGAACTGAAACAATCTGAAAATTTATGATACATATGGCCAGGTAAGTGCACGTACTGCCTTTCTTGCACTGCAGTAACAGAGAACAACAAAAAAATAATCTGTTAGTACAGGTTATAAAGATTTACTTATGTTTCCAAGAGAAAGCACTCACTGCACAGTTGACTCACAGGTTTTATTTACACTTGTCTACAGAATCATTTTGCCTTACATTTTATCTAAGCCAAATGAAACCATAATTTTCCTTTGTTTGTAGCCTATCATTTGCTAAATTTAAAAACTTTCATCTGTTAAGTACAGCAACAATTTTAATACAAAGAACAAGAAAAAAACAAAGGCTAACAACATAGCATCTATTTGATCTGATTTTTACAATTTAGTAGTTGGACTTTGAATTCGTCAGAGGCAGTTACAAGACTAACCTGCTCTTGTGCAATCTACACACACTTAGCATTGAAATTAGATATAAAAGAAAGCATTAAAGAAGAAACTGCAGAGCAATTTTTTCTGCAAAAAGACTATCAAAATATTTCTACACCAAAAACATTTTGCTTATATACCAGTCCAAAAGAAGTGTCTTAAAAAAAAAAAAGCAGAATGTAGTTTTTAAATTTTGCTCCGTTTGTTTTTGTGCAGTTCATTTAAAAAAAGCAGTTGTCAAATATGGGTTTGGAAGTTTTACTACTGAAATAAATGCAGATATATTGCTGTTTGCTTGCTTAAAAACAATTTTCCTTAACATACTTACCTTGTGATGGCACTGAAGATACTTAAACCTTTCTTAACCAAACGGAGCTCAAGAGAGACCAAGTTTTAATGTGATATTGCTAGTAAAATTGATTCGAATAAAGCATTTTAAGCCATAAATTACGTTTAAGGGAAAAAGAATGATTGATGAAGAACACATTTAAGATGTCAGAACTTTCTACACAGTTTATTATTTCTCATTTTTAAATATAAATAAAATTCAGATACCTTGAAAATTTTAGTCAGCCCAAAATGAATTTTACAGACGACCTGCAGAAGCTTCACTTGATTCCAAGAAGCTAGTTCCATATTCCTCCATCTCAAGAGCAGTTCCTAAATGATCCTTTTCTAAGAAAGGATCGCAGAGTCCAGGGTCCATGCACATGAAAATACCATAGCCAGTACCCACTGCAGAAAGGGCACTTTGCTGACTGCAGCAAATCATTTCTAGTGACAGGCACCAGCAGCTATGAGACTCGAGCAATGGAGAGGATAGTGCCCAACGTCTCAAACATCTTTGATTTGAAGGAATGAAGTCTAATTCACTCTGTACAGAATCATATGATGGGCTGGATATTTAATAGCTATTTTTGCACTGAGCATAGCTAAAGAGGGGCATCCATCTATACTTCAACACAGAAAAATAAAAAAAATAATTAAACCTAAGTACTCACTACTGTCATCCAATGCGTAACACCAGCCCTACAGCTACACTAACCTTTCGTGGTCCCATACAAGCTACATCAAACAAGCTCAGGAGTTGGACGCAGAAAGCTCATGGGTTCTTCTGTATTCCTCAGATACTTCTTTGTAATTGTCACGTGAAGAGCAGAGTTGTATCACAACATATCCAACCTGTGCCTGCTCATACATGTAGGAGAGCCAGGAATCGAGTAACTGAGTCTTTAAAAATAATAAAAAAACCCCTTACTCAAATAATAAAACTTCATACCTCCTCTGGGGAGTTTATGGCTTAAAATGCTACCTCACTTTTTGTTTCATGAATGAACAAAGCTGCAGTTTTCCAGAAAGCAAGGACAGACATGCACCTCTACTAGCAGATTTAGCACTTCTGACCAAATAAGACACCAACTTCTTAAAAATGTCTCATGCACTGACTGGAAATTTTTTTTTTTTTTTTAAATGTGAGCTTTAATACATTATTTCTTTTTAGAACTTGTACGGGAACCAGAATGGGAAGATCCAGATGATGATCTGCGGCGTCTGTAAGATATAAATGGAGAAAGCATGCAAAGAAATAAGTTGAAATTAATTTTAGCATCCACTTTGAGAAGTCTGTATCCTATAATAGCTGGAAGCCAAGTATATTTGATAGGCCATAGTATATCTGATAGCCAAGTATAAGCCAAGTATATCTGATATCTTACAAGAATATAGAAATAACTTTAAACTGCTTTAAGCTCATGAATGTGAATTTAATACTAAAAATGTAAGTTTAATACTGAAAGTAGAATACAATTTCTAAATGCAGTATTTACTTATGAAAGTAAATCAATAATGTACATGTTAACACTTTCACACACTGAAAGAATGGTGACCCAGGTCTTTCTATGGAACATGCTCCTAGGAGGAGGAAGTTTCATTGGGGGGGAGAAGGCAATTACAGAGGTTTTAATAAGAAGTAAGAGTACGGGAAGTGATAAAACTATTCTTAATATTAGAATAACTGATCAGATTCAATTCTTTCCCAGTGAATCTCAGTCCTTCAGAAAAAAAATAAAATCACACATTTAAATACACCCATTCTTATTCTACATAAACCCAAACCTTTCGGGTGACCGTGATCTCGATCGTCTTTTTTTGCGATCACCAGATGAAGAAGATCTAGAACGACTTCGCTTCTTGCTTCTCTCAGGGGAAGATGATGAACGAGAGCTTGAGTAAGATCTTTTTCTTGGGGTGGAAGACCCCCTGTAGGACCTGGAGCTGGATCTTTATTGATTAAGAAATAAATCAGATTTAATTCTGGTATAATATAGAAAGAACAAAGAAAGAACAAAAAGAGACAGTTTTTATGAACACTTACTACTCTATTTACTATTATTATCAGTGTTTTCTCAAATAAATTTGTGGATGCTTTAATACTTACTCCTTAGTTATCTGCCAATAAAGACTTCTACTGCTGTGGTATTTTGCTTAATAAGTTTTGCTAAATACGTGTTTCTTGATATACAGGCCACCAATGGTTTGGAACCCTCTTTCCAGCATTCACCAGAATGACGCATTTTGACAAAGAAGCGATGGGAGACTGGGACAGGAAGTAGCCTATATAAGGAGCTTCCTCAGTAGTTAAATTCACAAAGCAAAATGGCTTGAAAACCACAGATGTAATGCTGATTTAACAATGTTTCACTTCATATTAATGGATATTACACATTGAAAATTTGTAAAGTAATGTTCATCTTGCTAGAAGAGTAAAAACCCTCAGAAGGTATATTTACAAATCTCAAAATAAATTTGGGTAGAGAGTAAGACCTTCCACAACCAAAACATTTAAAAAAAAAAGTCTCTTGGAATACAGTCATTTTGGCATTTAAAAAAATAAAATTAACACCTTCACTTACAAGTACGCAAAAAATCACTTTGGTCATTAAAAAAAAAAGAAAAAAACCCAAAAACACTTGTGGAAAAAGTAACAGAGCTAGAAAGTCCTAAACTGTAATTCCAAAATTATATAAAAACACCTAACAGGATTTTTTTTCCAGTAAGCTGGATAAAATATTAAAAAAAAAACCAAACAACAAAAAACCACACCACAGTATATGTTGTTGGAAAAATATTTTCAGGGTTCTTACTGTAAATAACAAAGCAGTCCTATTTCACACAAGCTAATACACTGAGGACACTTGTTGGATGCCACATGGCACAAGCAAATAACCCAGCTCCGCTGACGAGTCACTTCATCATCTAGTGGGGGTACAGGCACCCTTTTTCTCTTCCTAAAAAAACGGATTCCATCTCGCGCTGACCCTCGCGTGATAATCCATAGCATGTTTCTGCCACCAAAGGGTGGTGGCACCATTTGTGATGGGTCTTCCCAACTCAAACTTCTTTATTTACAGTTCTAAGGTTCTCTGCATGCATGGAGATGGGACAGTGCTTCATTCCATCGCAAAAGGAAGGCCCTGCCAACAGGATGCCTGCGCAAGGACACCTCAAGGAACTTATATGCTTATGTTACTCTTCCCCGCACAGTTCAGTAACTGCTATACAGAAAACATCGGCTAGCTCAAAATCTTCCTTCTCACATGATTTACTGTTAACATTTTTATACATTGTCCCCACATTAATAAAGATAATGGCAGCAGTACCTAGTGGAAGTTAGATACGTTAAGTAAGTTAACACTAAACACAAAACCAGAAGTATAGCCTATTTTCTAATGTTCTTCCACATCAAGTAGCCAAAGTGGAAACAGTAAAACCAGCAAAAATTACTGAAGCAAGTAAACATGCATTCAAATTCTTCTTCCTTCAAAGTGAAGATGAAGTGGCGTCCACTCGTCTAGCTTAGATCAGACTTAAACTCTTCAACCAAAACCTCGCATTCTCAAGAAATACATCTGTAGTGGTAACAACCTCGTGCAGAGACCCCAGGAATTCTGACTTCCAAGATAAGAATGAGTTAATGTTTTGTGACCAGCATAATTTTACGATGAAATCAACAAGCGGTTGGTTCTTCTGCCCTTTTTTCCTCTCTGCAAGGAGAGAGTGCTACCTCATTCACCTTGATTTCGACCCACGAGATCTAGAGTGCTCTCTGGAACTGGAACGAGATCTTGATCTGGAACTGGAAGAACTTCTTGAATGGGACCTGAAACAACATGGAAGATTTTTTTCCAGTGTCTGACTTGTATTTAGCAGAGTAACTGCTACTGTTAGCAGTAGTTAGACAACGATGCATCAATACAATTTGGCCTAGAGTCACTAAAGAAGTGACAATTTCCTCCTACTCCCCCAGTATCACCATAGTACATTTTAGAACAGAAACTTTAACGCAGTAAGATGGCACATTAAAAAAATTATGAAGTCAGCTTTTTATTACATTTCCTAGAACAAAGCACAAAAATTAAATAGGATTGCAGTTATTTGCCAAATGAAACAACTGCATACCTATTAACTATTTCATGAAATCAATGCTGCAACTTTTAATTTGTGCCTTAACTTGAAAACCATCAGTTTCTTTGAAAACCAGAGTAGGTTAAGAGTATTAGGACTAGCTAGCTCAAATTTTCCCCAAGTCAGTTCTCACAAGCATTTCGTGAGCAGTTTCTAGTTTTTGTAAAGGTTTTCCCCTGCATTAAAAATGTAGTAGTAGTTAATTCTTGGCTAAAATACGGACATATCTAACACTACTTATAACTAGTCAAAACTATTTTCTAATTTTTCATGGTGATGGATTTTCTTTAAAGCACAAACCACAAAAGATATGTAAAAATGGTAGTGGACTTGCAGCGACCATTGTAAAAAGAAGGCATTGCAATCAAATTCTAATAATATTTTCAGGAAAAATGTATTATACATGCTGTCAGTTTCCCAGTTTATATTGTTACCATGTCTTTTTCATTTTACTGTGCAAAACAAAAGCAGTATGAACACATGCTAACTAAAAAATATATTTAAACCTTTTTAAAAAACACAAAGAAGTATCCACAAACGGCAACTGGTATTTCCAATTAATTATCTGTAGCTAGAAGCAAAAAGTTCAACAGAAAGGTGAAAGATCCCTAGCAAGTTTCACTTATGACAAGCTACTTCTTACTTGACTGTTAACATTTGTGAATTAATGAACAAAGTTATGGCTAGATGAAGTTGTTCTGTCTTCTTTGACATTCCCACCCCTAAACCTAAGAATTACACTCAAATGCAGCCACACTGGCTGCATACTATCCTCACATAGGACAATACAGCCACCTCCTCAAAGATCTTGCTTCACACCTCACTTCATTTACAAAAATTGCTAACAGCCGGTGCTCCTCCTTGGAGCCATGCAGCAAATACACATCTTGAGACAGCATTTGAAGGAGTGGGGAGGCTGACAATAGGTACTGTGAAGAACGCAATTATTCACAGAAGAGGCAGCATGAAGAAAAGCATGAAAGCAATGGGGAGAAAAACAAAACATAGACAGTGGCTGACATCAGGTTAGTATGAGGGTCTGAAGAATTTGGGCAGCAATCACAGCAGAGAGAGCAGAAAGGTGCAGTTACAAAGCTAGGAAGATTAGAAGAAACTTGAACTTTATGTATATGAACTTTAGGTATAACCCTATCAGCTAGTACCAATTTGAGGTCTCAAACCTATCAGTATCATCCTTGTATCAGTTGTAAGGCAGCTAAAAAGCTACAACATGACTTACATCACATGATTAGAAAACGTTTATTCAATTGTTCATATATTACTGAATTTAAATAATAATGTGAGATCTTAAATTTACTCAGTACGTTTTTCATGGCCCCATGATCAATATAAACCTTTTGTGTTATTCTGACAACATTGCCACTGTATTTAAAGACTTGTTGCTTGCCATCAAACTAAGTTCAAGTTTTTTGTCTTTATATCCAGGATATTTTCCATTCTGTCCTTTCATTGAATCTGTCTGGACTGCATCATCACTGCCCTCTTCTGTCACCTCCTCCCACTTTAATAATACCACTCTTCTGCTTCTGTTCAACAACTCTACACAACATTGCTAAAAAAAGTTCACCCATTGAATCACATATGGCCAACAAGCCTAAAACTAAATCTGAAAATAAGTTTTATTTTCAAAATTTGTTTGAAGGATTCAATTGAAATATCAACTTAAATTTACTAAAACAAGCAACAAGACATATGAAGGCTCCCTACTGAGGATCCACAGAAGGTCAGAACAGAACATTATCTACCTCTGTAAATTCTGTGCATAAAATTGTTAACATTATTAAACTAAAACTGTAAGGCAATCAAGAAAAAAAGTAAATAAAGAAGTTAGATACTGACATTTTGCCTGGCGTTACCCTTGACCTGTACCCGTTTACCTGGACCTAGACCTTGAGCTTGAATGAGAGGATGAGCGCGATGAAGATCGTGAGTGGGAAGATCGAGACTTAGAACGACTGCGCCTATTGGATTTCTTTTTCTTATTAGTGTCCTCTTCCTCACTGGCATCAAGATTATATTTTGAAAGGTCAGCATCATCTTCATCCTCATCCTGAAAAAATAGAGATATACAAAAAATACTTACAAAATACTTTGTTTTCTTCAGCTAGTATTTTTTAGTTATTCTATGGTTCATTTTGTGCTTTTTTCAACCTTTGAAAATACTGCTGTTAGTGCATTTAATGAGATCCAATAATTTTAAGAGTAAAGAGTGACTGAAAATTTGTGTTTCAAAGCAAGCTATTAAAAAGCTGCAAAAGCCTCATCTGAAGTCCCATTTTCTGTTATTTAATGAAGTTAATGAAAATACAGACATTGATTTTTACCAGTTACTTTAAATGAGTGCTTGGAAGAATTTTCAGACTCAAAATCTATAACCATAGCATATGCAGAGACATGTTTCATATGCACAATTTGGTGACTGCTGTGTTAAAAATAAGCATATACCCACGTCTCTGCAGGACTGCTGTCCAAAGGTGTGGACAATCCAGTATGTGATGATCATGTATTTCATGAAAGATGAAAAAAATCTCTGAATATTTTATTCCATTTTATAAAAAGGAAATCTGATGTAGTTTTATAAGATTAAGAATAAAATTCAAGAATATTCCCTTTATATGGTAACCATACATAAAGGTTTCAAATAAAGATCTCAAAATTTTTGATTCTGACCTCAGATAAGCTTTTAATTTTTTAATGGTTTAAAAAACATTATACAGCTTTGAATGCAGGTATTTAGAACAAAACATACTTTACAGAAGTTATAGGCACCGTTATTCTCATAGCTACTCCTCTATATTGCTCTAAAGGTAGCTAAAAATACAGACCAAACCTTGCCTAGTAACAGCACTGTAGTAATAATTAAAAATAATTGCTAAAAAAAACCCAAACACGCTACCTCATCCAATTTATATTTGGAGAGATCTTCATCCTCATCCTCCTCATCTTCCCCTTCAGATTCCTTATCTTCTACTTCCTTCAGGATAGATGCAGGACCAACCGGCTTCCCTCTATACTTTTTCTTTTTGCGTCCAAACTAAGAAATTTTATTCCATTAGAATACGATTTAATCAAAAGCAATTTCCAACTGTATTTTTTGATAAAATTTCTATGAGAAAATAAATATACATCAATTTCAAGTAAGATATTGCTCAAAGAGAAGAAGTATCATGAAACATCAATTAGCAACAAGACATTTTCTAAAGAGATGCTTGTCTTAGATACAATTAGTACCCACAGACAAGGTGAATGGAAATCTGAATTTAACAAAAGAGTATTTTATATTTGTGTCTATGGGATATCTTTATAAGACAATGTTGAACATCTGGCTGAAAACAACATGAATGACTGAAGCCAGCTCCCTAAGAAGTTCAACAAACTAAGCTTGTACCAGTTTAATTTGAACTCATTCTTAGTTTTTAACCCCCAAAAAGACAAAACAGATGCATTCGCTTTCAGTTCAGAACTTTCACACTTGAGCATTTGGCAAAGAGATGCATCACAATGTATTTCTGACTAGCACTCTTCCCTGGAAGGAAAGCAAATGCAGATGTATGTAACCTAAACACAAATCACACAATACATGTCTCTCCAAAGTAATACATGTACCTAATCTTACCTCGTCATACTCCCCGTCTGATTCTTCACGTTCTATATATTCAACATTCTCTCGTTCATTAAATCCTCCTCCATACCCTTTAAAAAGGGGTAAAACAAGACAATCTCTTGAGTTGCACCAAATTCAGCTACATTAAACACAAAGTTTATTCTAAACTTTCAAAGAGGTTCTGGAAGCCTTCAGTGGATTTATAAATATATGCCATACAAATGTAATATGATCTCAAGAGGAAGATGAATTGTTCCCACACGTTTTATCAAATATAGTTCCTCAGAAACCTAATCGAGAAAATGGATTAAGACATACAAACACCACAGAAGCAATAGCATTTAAAAGAATGGGAAAAAAAAAATTTAAAAAAAGAAATTTCAGGATTACAGCTGTGTGGAGCAACCAACTTCCCAGAAGGGCTCTGGTGGGGCTGCAGTGCCCGACAATTGCCTTGGTGCGGATAAACACAGGAATGTCTCCAAGGGGCTAGAATAATCATAGAATCATAGAATGCTTTGGGTTGGAAGGGACCTTTAGAGACCATCTAGCCCAACCCCCCTGCAGTGAGCAGGGACAGCTTTAACCAGATCAGGTTGCTCAGAGCCCCATCCAACCTGACCTTGAATGTTGCCAGGGATGGGGCCTCTACCACCTCTCTGGGCAACCTGTTCCAGTGCTTCACCACCCTCATTGTAAAAAATTTCTTTCTTATGTCTAGTCTAAATCTATTCTTCTTTAGTTTAAATCCATTATTCCTTGTCCCGTCACAACAGGCCTTGTTAAAAAGATTCTCCCCATCCTTCCCGTAGGCCCCCTTTCAGTATTGGAAGGTCGCAATAAGGTCTCCTCGCAGCCTTCTCTTCCCCAGGCTGAACAACCCACA